CACACACAGTGGAATATTATTTAGCCACAAAAAAAGAAATCTTGCCTTTTGCCACAACATGGAACATGGATGGGCCAAAAGGGCATTATGCTAAGTGAAGTGAGACAGAAAGACAAATGTGTGATCTCACTTACATGTGGAATCCAAAAAGAGGTAAAGAAAAAAACCGAGCTCAAAGATACAGAGAACAGATCGGTGGTTGCCAGAGGCATGGGATGGGAGTGGACAAAATGGGTGATGGGAATCAAAAGGTGCAAAATCCCAGTTATAAAATAGATAAGTCAGGCTGACACCAGGTCCAGCCTGGCAAATACAGTTAAAACTGCATGTGTGAAAGTTGATGAAAGGAAATCTCAGAAGTTCTCATCACGAGAAAAAGAGCCACGTATGCTGACAGTATCAACTCTTACTATGGTGATCATTTTGCAATACAGTTGACCCTTGAACAACTCAGGGATTAGCGGGGCCTGCCCCCATGCAGTCAAACAACCATGTATAACTCTGACCACCCCAAAACAACCACTAATAGCTACTATCGACCAGAAACCTTACTAATAACATGGTAGTCATTTATTTAATACATATTGTGTAAGTTGTATTGTTTACCATATTCTTACAAAGCTAGAGAAAAGAAAATATTAAGAAAATCATAAGAGAAAATACATTTGCAGTATTATACTGCGTTTACCCAAAAAAATCCATGTGTAAGTGGACCCATACAGTTCAAACTCGTCTTTTTCAATAGTCAATTGTTTATACAAATGGGGAATCAGTAAGCTGTATACCTGAACCTGATACAATGTTATATGTCAATTATCCCTCAAACAAGCAAACAAACAAACAACAAAAAAACACTCTTTCTCCATCTCTCCATTTTGTTTTTTTTCTGAGTTGGCTCTCAGGCAGTCGGTTGACCCTGAGTGACAAAGGCTGCCACCAGAAACTCCAGGCTTTCATCTTATCACCCTAGAAACCCAAAAGAAAGAAAAAATATTAGGTTGAAATACATGAAATTACCACTGATGTAGATCAAAAACGGTTGAGTAATGGCAATTTCATATGTTTCAACCTAAGAGTTCCAGAGTCCCCAAGGCCTAAAGTTCATTGGCTCAGCTTCGATGTCATGCCCACTATTATCCAATCACTGTGGCCACTAGAATAGACCACTCTTTTTGACCGTGTCTAAGACATATGCCCATTCATGAGCCATGTCAGAAGAAATGAGGTAAGACTGATTAGTCAAAGAAAACTTAAGGAGCTATTATCAGAAAAGGGGGAATAAAAACAGAGGAGGCCCATCAGATGCACACTGTGCATAAAATAGACATGAAATGTGTCCATTTACCATGAAGGTAATGAAGACTCGCTTTGGCAAACCTCACCTGCGCAGGCTTTTCCGATCTGCACGATGGTACAGCAACCAGTGCAAAATGTGTTTTATTTCATGTACAAAACAACGTGGCAGGACTCTTTTTCTTTAAAAGGGGGCCTCCAAATTATATAAGCTTTAGAACCAACAGAACATGGAAGTGCAACTAGTGAAAATACTCAAACATATTTTTGGAACTAGTATGTATTCCCAGTATATTGTACTTCCTTCTGCTTTTAGTGTAAATAAAGCATTTAGTAGGTAGTTTACTCACTAAATTCTTCTCAATAACTCAATCTCTTTTCACACTAACAGGAAATAACCTGATCATTCCCTTCAAATCTCCCCAACTTCTCAGAGCTCAGGATCTTCATGAATATTTCTTCACCTATGTCATAGACTAACACAAATAAGGTCCTTTTTCATTTTTGCCCCACCTTGAACTTCAATCCCAGATGAAACTTGCCTCCCAGTACCTCCGTTCATGAGAGGTCAGCCCCATTTGAAAGGTGCATCTCTGGGTCTCACTGTGGTTCCTTATAGCACCAGCTTGAAGAAACTTAACAGACACTCATATTCACTCCAAACTAACATTTATTTTTAAAAATTGCAAATCAAAATGAGTTCTCTGAAATTACGAAATAGAGAATGTGAAGTGTAAGGTGGATCTTATATTGGAGTGAATCTAGGATAGGAGATGGTGTCAAAGCAAATACACCTACAGAGGACCCATTATTAGGGCTGTGCCAAAATGGGTCTGGACAACCAGAAAGTGTGCCTTTGTTATTGGGATTTCCAACTGTACTTTACCCTTCTATTGGACAGTCAGACAGCCCCAGGAATGTAAATTCATGCTGTTCTGGCTGTGGGGGAATGTGAGGAAACTAAGCCTGCTTGCTGCTATTCTGATGGCAGCATTCATCCCTGGGAGAGACGGCTCTGGCACTGATGTTACTTTTCTCCCCTCTCAGGAAAATGGCTTGGGCTGTGTATCGGGGAAGCCAATGGGCACCTACAATTTCTGCTTAATCCCCCAGCAGATTTCCAAACCTGTAGTACTTCAGATGTGGCATTGAGTTGGAACCCATTTTTCCCCTCCCCCCCACCTCCTCCAAGAAATATGGCTAGAAACCGGGCAGCATGATTATGTTGCCTTTTTTCTTTTAATTTGTTGAAATTGTCTCTAGGCAGAAGAAGGGGGGAGTCAAAACCAGATGGTTGTAGTTGGAGTAGAAGCCTACTACTGAGGAGCTTTGAGATGCTCAAATCTGGTGGCGGCCACTACTGCCCTGCAGGGAAAGGGATGAGATAACAGACTGGCGGCAAAAGATTTCCAGAAGACTGACCGCCAGTGTCCTGTTTTCTTTATCCTCTGACCACACACATGTAAAACAAGGTCTCCTTTCCTTTAATTCTCCAAAGCACTACCAACCTTGGGTTAAAGCAGACTTTAACTCTTGCGGAGGTGGGGAGGGTTAGTTACTTGTTAAGAAAGGAGTTTATATCACCGGGACTTAAACAGTAAATAAATGAGTACTATCCATTCCTCTTAAGGCCCCTTAGCCTGCCTGTATCTTCTTCGTCAGCATCCCTCTACCACTCATCAAATGCAAGCAGATCTCACTGAATCATCAGATGTGTTCCTCAACTTCTCCCTACACACAGGAAGCACAGGGAACATTGAGACTGAGGATAGAAGAATAGTCAGAGAGTTGGGTAAGAGTGAACTTCTTTTATCTCCCAATATTTGGGGAGACTCTACTAATAGAATAGCTCCCCACCCTGGTCTCCAAGTCATCCGAGCATCTGGAGGGAGGGGGAACACACCACGGTCAACCTGGGGGCTAATGCCTCCTCCTTCCCACTCTTGGGGAAAACTGATTCTCAATCTTTTGTCAAATACTAGGCAAATACAACTGAATATCCATTCAGATGTCCACCTGTTAGGGTTTGTTGTTCCCCCAACAAATGGTGTCTCCTTCACCACTACTTCTTCAACTCTCCTGCACCAACTGGGTGTTCTACAATTCCTCTCCATCCTGCCACTAACTGCCCGGAGTTAGCATCAGACTCCATGGTTTAAGGGCTCTGTCCCACAAGAATGCCCACACTTCAGAGACCAGTCACAAGTATCAAGTCTCCGGATTGCATCTGACACCCATTCAGGGGTTCCCACAAAACCCCCTCAGATTGTATCATTTGTCAGGGTGACTCAAAGAACTTGGGAAAGGGCTTTAGTTACCAGTTTACTATAAAGAATGTGATGAAGGAAGAGGGCAAGGTATGGGAGGGGGGGATGTGGAGCTTGCCACCTTCCCAGCCCGTCTACACCTTCAACAACCCGGAAGCTCCCCGAATCCCACTAGGTAGTGGTTTTTATGGAGGTTTCATGATGTAGATACGATTGATAAAGTTACTGGCTATTCATGATTCCTCAATCTCTAGCCCTTCTCCTCTTCAGGGAAGTTGGAGGTGGGACTAAGAGTTCCAAACCTCTAACCAATTCTTAGTCTTCCTGGTGACAAAAGACTTTTATCACCCTTATCACTCAGGAAATTCCAAGGGTTTTAGGAGCTCTGTGACAGGAACTGGGCACAAAGACCAACCATCATTCTTATCCAACTCCATTACGTTTACCTGTCTTGTTAAAAAAAAGAAAATCCTAGAGACACCCTCCTTAAGGTGTTAGTCTTCCTATTTCTGACTATCCCTCCGTGTGTACTCTCCATATCCTCTTAAGAGAGTGACCAGAAATGTCTAATTTGCTCTTCATGAGGCTTCTGGACACATAATTAGTTCCCCTGTGGTAGACCTCTTTATCGGTCCCCTCCAAATAAATCATTCATGAGAACAAACATTAGACCAGAATGCCAACTCCACCTCTTTTCTTCCCACAAGAATCTTAGGATGTCAGTGCTACAAGTGGACTTAAAATGGCCCAGCAACTCACTCCCACCCCCAACCCCCCTTTATGCAGTCATCCCCTCCACTTCCCTGGGCCAGCTCCACCAGCTTCTCGCTCACTGATGTTCCATAAAGGAGAATTGGTCATTCTGAATGTCCAAGGAAGGGAGGCCTGGTGGCTCTTACTTGTTACGTCTCTAACAGGAAAAAGTCACACTCTGGAACAGGAGACCGGGAACTTTACTGGTGAAAACGGAAGGAGGACCAATTTGACTGAAGCCTGCTGTGCGTTCTGCCCTACCGGCTGCTAGTCCCCCTCCCTGCATGCCCAACAAAGACAAAAACAAAACAAAACAAAACAAAAACACAACTACAGCAACAACACACTCAGGGAAACAAAGCTTTCCTTTTAGGTCATCAAAACATTTTCCTTTTGAATCAAAAACCTCGCTTGCTCCTAGGTTTGGGCTTTGATCATCTGTGGCCCCCAGATGGTCTCAGATGGTGAGGGCCTTCAACGCACTCAGGTTGATTTGAAATCCATGTTTAGGTCCCAGCATGTGGCAATGTGCTCCACTCTGATGACACTTTTCGTTTCTAAGAATAGCGCAGATGAAGTAATATTGCAACTGACGTTCCCGGAGATTTGATTGGGTAAGTGCATAAACTGTGGAGGGAGAAGGGCGGCGGGGGGCGGGGGGGGCAGGGGTTCTCTGGACGGATCACATTAGTATTCCCGTCCTATCAATGTGCGGGGCAGCGCGCCACGTCAGGCGGACCGATTGCCTGCGTCTGCCAGTCCCGCCACGGATTCATTTGGGATCCTCAAACAGATGAGCCCGTAGAGACGGGGCATCAAGGCAGCCTATTAGAGCCATTGCCTGCTTCGGGGACTGCCAGCCTTCCAGGCCTGGCGACGGGGGAGGGAGGGTAAAGACGAAGGAGCGCTGCTGCGGGAAGACACTGAGGCGAGAGCTACACTCATACCCGCCCCCCCCGCAACTCCCACCTTACAGCGCAGGCTTTGAAAGCTGCTCCCCCATCTGAATGGAAACTCAGAACCGCCTGGCGGCGCGTTCCTTCTCGCCCAGCGCTGCAATCCATGCCGAGGGGAAGGTAGTGCGAGCCCGCGCCAGCGCCCAGCTCCCGGGACAGGGCCGGCAATGCTGCTGAGCAGAACTTGACCGAGCCCCTTCCTCGCTGCTCAGTGGAAGCGATGCTGCAGCGCACAGCCAGCGCTTCCCCGGCTCTCCTTCAAGCTGAAGGTTACCCACCCGCGCAGCCAGCCCCAACCCTGTGAGCGCCGCGCCTCGATTCCCGGCTCCGGCTGCTTGGCGGCGCGCAGGGCAACGACCGGGCCGCCCGCGCCGGGGCGCACTGCACCAGCGGCTTCGGCTTGGTGGATGTGTATGCATGAGTTCTGCACCGAATGGGCGCAAAAAGCGCCCCAGCCGGTCCACCCGCTCCTCGATCTTCCAGATCAGCAAGCCCCCGCTGCAGAGTGGGGATTGGGAGCGCAGGGGCAGCAACTCCGAGAGCGCCCACAAAACCCAACGAGCCCTGGACGACTGCAAGATGGTAGGTGAAAACTGCGCCTTTTTTTTTTTTTTTCCTTTTTGGAGAAGAGGTGGGGGCATCTTGTATGTTAGTCGTTTGCTTGACTGCCAGCCACTCCCCCACCCTCAGCTCCTCCATGCCGATCACGTGCACATGCACTATTTTTAAATCTGCAGTCCCCAGATTCGGGGTGACACTCGGGTCGTAATGTCCCCGCAAAGAAGTGCCACGGCAAGGGTCTTAGGGTCAGCGGCTGTAAGTCATGCCTCTACCCCCTCAGAGAACGGTGGATGCAAAAGACACGGTGAAGTGGCTTGCTCACCAGGGAGGGAGGGGATGGGAAGGTGGGGGTGCTGCTTTGTGGGGAGACAGCAGCAAATAAACCCAAACAGAGCACACGGGGCGCTGCAGAGGGGACGAAGGTTCCAGCGCAGAGGCCGTGGCCGGTCTTCCCACCAGGCTCCTGAGCCAGTCTCTGGTTCAGTGGCCTGGCAGGAGGTGAACGGTTTCCCTCTCGCAACCTATCTTTGGCCTTTATCCCCACGCAACTTAAAATCCTTATCTTAGCTGTAGTACAGGAGAGCATTATATGTGAGAGTTCCCAACAGCAAGCTCTAGTGACCTGGGAGTGGCATATGCTCTTGCTCTTCAGAAACTGAGTCTAAGGGAAGAGGGGGATGGTAGAGGGGGAGGGAGTAGGTCTGGAAATAGAGCTTCCACCACCGGACCTCCCGATGAAAATAGACACTTGCCTTGGACAAAGAGAAACTTACCATCGTTGTGCCCTGATCTTTTTAAGCAGTCTGTAGGCTCCTTAGCTGGAGACTTGTGGAGTTGGCTGAGGGGTCACTGAAAACCCATGTTTGTATACACCCAAAGAGGAAACGTTGGTGAAGGAAATTCAATTCTTTTTCAGCTTGTCCAAGAGTTCAACACGCAAGTGGCCCTGTACCGAGAGTTGGTCATTTCTATCGGGGACGTCTCCGTCAGCTGCCCCTCACTCCGGGCGGAAATGCACAAGACAAGAACCAAAGGCTGTGAAATGGCTCGTCAGGCACACCAAAAACTTGCTGCCATCTCGGGGTAGGAGATTCTTGGCATTATTTGGTCATTCATATACATGATGCATGGATGCTGACAGTTATTTATGGTGTTCAAGACCTCAGAAGCGATCTCTGCAAATCTGGGATTTTAACCAATCACCCTGAGATCAGGATTCTTTTGAGAGCTATAGACAAACTAGGAGCTAAATTACAATCTGAAGGTTGTGAGATTCTTGAATATACATATATTCAAGACTTGGGTCATTAAGTGATTTAAAAAAAAAATTAACTTGCACTATGCTGTCCACATATCAGGACTCGGGGCTTCAGAATTTTTTTGCAGAATGTTTGGCTGTCAAAATGAAGTTAAGTCATCACACCTCGAGATTATTTGTCATCTGCTGCTAAACAGCTACTGCACGAAAGTCCAGTTCAGTAGAGAGAAAAATCTTTGCTAAATCCTAGATTTACTAAACTATTTATATACCATGAGATAAATTCCTGTGATACCATTTAAAATAAAATCCCTAAAATAAAGTCTTGGATATAAATTACTCTCCTCAGTGTAGTGTATGAAAGGAAAGTTTTAACAGAAGAAAATTTTGGTGAAGACTGTGGAAATTCACAAATCCATCTAAATCTAGGCTGTTCATGTGCCCCCCCCCCATTAGTTTTATTTCCTTTTATCACCCTTATGGATCCCCAGTCCTACTTTAGGTGCTAATACAGTGAGCGAAAACTTCACCTTTGAGACCTCATCTACTTCCTGATCTCTCCATATCAGGAAAGAAGTTAGTCATGGATTTTGTCAAGTTACTATACTCAAATAAGAACATAGAGCAAGGAAACACAGGAATCCTTATAGAAATACATTAAGTGTTTGATTCCGTCTGGATAAAGCCTTTATCTGTTTATCTGTGTATGTCTGTATCATAATCGAAGTTCAAGTCTATTAGACTAACCTGATACTATTGCAGATTGATCATGTGTAGGAATTATATCTAATTTATTACTTGAAAGAATCACTCTTTGCCATCTTTAAGGCCAATAATATGTATAATGCCGGTAATATGTACAGTGACTATTGGTATACATAGATTAGAAAGCCCTATGTTGCCTTTCTCAGTAACTGCATTTAACAAGTGGCATTTTATATCATGAGAAAAGATGCACTATCTAATGTCCTTGAAATGAGACATAAAGTATATTACAAACCCATTTCATTTGGTAGAAATATTTAGAAACCTCATCCTTTTCTGTTTTAACTGTTACACTGTGCCTAACAGGATGTGAATCTGGAATTTCATCTTGAAGGTGGAAAGGGATTCAGTGTTTAAGGAATTTGGGGAAGAAATGCAGCTGTGATAAACCCCAGACAAGAAGGGAGGTAAAACAACTAGAAACACAAAGGAGAATAGTGGTGGAATGAAAACTGGAGAGAAACAATGATTCAGAAGGGGAAGCAGATTTACAACAGGAAATGTTATGCCCAGAGCAAAAGAGTAGCATCTTTGTCAACTCTGTGTCCAAGACTGTACGATGGGGTTATATTCAGGACTCCTCAAAGGTGAAACTCAAATTGATGACATGTTCTAATCACAGAAGATAGACTGGAGAAAGAAACAAGGAGTTCAATTTAGTCTGTGCTGCTACACACATGAAATTCAGGTCCTTCCAAAGTTTCAGGAAAGAAGGAGTCTGAAACTACTGGCTCAAAGTTGAGTTTTGAGGATCTGAGATGGATTTTATATACTCGGGGGTTGGTAAGCCCCTTGCTACTTACTTTTATATTACCTGAGAGTTAATTTTATTGGGAGCAATTTTGTAAGACTTAGTGGGAAAATATGTTGTTCTTAGAGCCTTGCAAAGGTAAGGCCAACTCTATACAGTGTTCTAGGATAGGACCTGAAACATTTCCTCCTTAAAATAATGAATACAATTTAACCTTCTTTCTAAAGAAATGACAGCATTATAACTGAAGGAAATCCCTTTAGCTTCTTACCATCTGGGTTTCATTATTGAAGGATGTGATGATTTTCCTTGGTGGAATTCCGTTCCTGACATTGCTAGTTATATTGGCTCTCATGTCAAGGTTGATGTGAAAGCTGGTAGGGAGACTGTAGCATTCGCCTTAAAATCTGAAGCAGGGTTAAGAAAAGCAAAGCCTCCTGGGAAATGTAGAGACAAAGACTGGATTTCTTGAGCACCCATCACTTGCCAGCACAATCCAGTTAATTCGTAGAATAGTCGTCTGAGGGAAAGATGATTATTATCCTTATTTTTACAAATGAGTATCAAAAAGGTTAAGGAACTTGCCCAAAGTTACACAACTAAGAAGTGGTATGACTGTGATTTGGCCCCATGTTGCATACTTCTGAAATCCATGATCTTTTCCCTACATAAGTCTGCCATTTAAAGAAGTATTATGTAAAAAGGAATGAAATACGAAAACATGCTAACATATGGATGAATCACAAGAAGAGTAAGCTAAATCAAAGACACCAGTCACCAAATGCCACATATTGTACGATTCCTTTTACATGAAATGCTCAGAAAAAGCACATCTATTCACATCAGAAAGTAGATTAGTGGTTGCCTAGATCTGGGAGTGGGAACAGGGAGTCCCTGCAAATGAGCTTGAGGTAACTTTCTGGGGTGATGGAAGTGTTCCAAAATTGAACTGTGGTGATGATTGTACAACTCTATAGCTACTAAAAATCACTGAATTGCACATTCAAAATGAGTGAAGTTTATGATGTGTGAAATATAACTCAATAAGTGTCTTGTAAAAAGGTATGATCACTATCACCATGAATAATAACACCTGGCCTTACTCTTTCCTACATACACAGCTTTTAGTGAAAGGGGTAGGAACTATAGGGATGGGGAAACAGAACACTTGGCTCTCCATGCATTCATCAAGATGCCGGCCCAACAGCTATCACCTAAACTCCAAAGCTTTGCTCTGAGGAGGAACATAGGTGAGGCAAAAACAAGACTTGAAGGAGTAAATGAAATGACTTATTTCTTAACCAGCACAGACCACTCCTTTCCTGTTTATCACCTGGCTTTGGGGCCAGAGGAGGGAGACTGGGTTGAAGGTAGACACGGTAAAAAGAGGATGAAGCAAGATAAACAAAAAAGAGGAGAAAAGCCAATGAGCTGGGATTAAGCCACGGATGCTTAGACCCCCTTCATCCCCAAATGACTCCCTCAAGGAACGGTGACCACAGACTGTGGTTCTCACTAGCTGGCCCTGGGTAAGAAGGCCCTCATCACAGACGTCATCATGACACCTTCTCAAACCGTGTCTAGACCAGCGAACCTTGCAGTACATCCTTTTCTTTCAAAGGCAACGGATGTCTTCTGGACATAGCCAGCCAGGTGAATCCCCAGTCTCTTCTGCCTGGTTTGAGTGACCACAGTTGGTGTCCCTTTACGGTGCTGATCCTCGTTGGTATTAAAGCTAAGAGAGGCCTCAGGGATCACTTGCTAGAATGGTCCCCAACTTGTTTTAGCAGCAGAATCTTCCTTCCATCTTAATGTAGAAAGTCAGACTTAGAAGGCAGGTTGAAAGTGGCATTGCTGTGCCCTGCATGGTGTGTGTGTGTGTGTGCGCGCGTGCGCGCACATGCGCACGCGCACACACACACACACACCAGGGGCGGGTGGCTATCAGGGCCGGTGACCTTGGACTTCCTTCCCAAAATGACTTCTGAGACACCTTTGAAGAATCCCTAGGGCTTCAGGGCAGAGTATAGTGATATAGCACAATTTCCTTGTTTTGTATTTGAGGAGATTTAGAGGATTTCAAGCGACTTTAGAGGCAACTTGGGCAAGTATACGTGAAGACTTAGCATTTAGGCAGACCTGGGTGGAGAACCATCTTCTGTGACCTTGACGGAACTACTTCACTGTCTGAATCTCAATTCCCTCCTCTGTCAACTCATTGTCATGGCCCCATGGGGTAGTTGAGAGGATCTGTGGGGCCAAGTACATGACTCCCAGCCTCTAGAGGATACTCTGCCAGTCCAAGGCTGCTCTAAGACCGGAACCCATGCCGATCACTCAGTGGTCTGGCACCAGTTCCATCAAACACACCATGCCCTGAGAACCAAGAGAAAAGAGCCCAGCGCGCTGGCTAGGAACGACCCAGAGGAGACAGTACCCTCCAGCAGACACTGCAGATGATGCTGTGGCTGGTGGGCTGGGCATTGGGATCCCTTTTCCTCCACGGCTGCTGGGGTGCTTGTGCTGCCCTACATCTCCTTCACACCTCTGCCTTCTGGCGGTGGCTGCTGACAAAGTGAACAGGTGAGGTTTAAGTACGAAAATGTGAGAGGCAGTATCGAGTGATGGGAAAGAGCTCTGACTCTAAATCAGATTAGACTGGGATAAAATCCTGGCTTTACCACTTGCTGGGAATCCATGTGTATTGAGATGCATACTGCTTCGCAGGGTGCTAAAGGTCAGACTTTGCCTGTGTTCAAATCTCAGCCCTGCCTTTTTTACAAGTAGTGTAACCTTGGATGAAGGTAGATACTGTCCCTCCCTGCCTCGGTTTTCTCATCAGAAAGTGGGGTTAATAGCTAATGACACTGAACCACACGGCATTATAAGGACTAAGTGAACATATACCAAGCACGCAGAAGACGGACTAGCACACGGTTACACTATTACGAAATTCAGATTAGTGTTTGTATAATTATTCATAAGACATGCAAAATTCAGGGTATCATGATACACCTATATGAAAAATAAATTTATCCATCCAATATTTTTCAAATAAATACCTTGGCTGAAATAAATGTTTATCTTAGTTCCTTATATTATGTTTGGAGGAATTTTTTAGGTTGAGGCTTCCCAGATGGTTATCAAAGACTTTTTTTTTTTTTTTTTTGAGAGAGAGAGAGAGCCTGAGTAGGGGGAAGGGGCAGATGGAAAGAGAATCTCAAGCAGGCTTCCTGCCCAGTGCAGAGTCCAACATGGGGCTCGATCTCACAACCCTGAGATCATGACCTGAGCCAAAACCAAGAGTCG